ATGAAGCGGTTTCTTCTGCGATTGTGATCTTCTATTATTAACACATCTTTCTTGATCTACTTCCAAGTAGCACTGAGGGAAAAGCAAACCTCTTATGCTGGATCTGCTGTAAACGTAAAATGTCAAGCCTTTTGACCAATGGTATGTGAGATTAGGGCAAAACACGTCCATGTGCATCCAAGCTTGGCATCTCAAAACATGTGTGGATTCAGAGAATGCACCACTCAAATACTAAAGAAAACAAAACTGACTGCCGTCACATTCATAATTTTAATTTGGTGGTAGCAAGAATACATTTCCCCAAATGTAACATTTATTATTTGAAATTACCCAGGGGAATTTCGCGTGAGAATATATGTCCCGAGCAGCCTATGCTTGATGCAAGAGGTGACGAAATGGATTGGGTGGTCAAACCCGATCACTTGGTCGATTGCATGTCATGGTATCACACTTTTGTCCATTGAATCTCAGGATGTCAATCACTGGGTTTTCTTGTCTGGACCCAATTATTTTTTCTGCGGAGCTATATTCCAGGTATATCCTTGCCGGAACTGTTTGAGTATGGACTAGGCAAACCAGGACAGGAGCAAGAGAAATGGACACAACCACCAGGGCAGGAGCGAAAGAAATGGACACAACCACCTAGGCAGGAGTGAAAGAAATGGACACAACCACCAGGGCAGGAGCGAAAGAAATGGACACAAACACCAGGGCAGGAGCGAAAGAAATGGAAGCAACCATCTAGGCAAGAGCGAAAGAAATGGACACAACCACCAGGGCAGGAGCGAAAGAAATGGACACAAACACCAGGGCAGGAGCGAAAGAAATGGATACAACCACCAGGACAGGAGCGAAAGAAATGGACACAACCACCTAGGCAGGAGCGAAATAAATGGACACAACCACCAGGGCAGGAGCGAAAGAAATGGACACAGCCACCTGGGCAGGAGCGAAAGAAATGGATACAACCACCTGGGCAGGAGCGAAAGAAATGGACACAACCACCTAGGCAGGAGCGAAAGAAATGGACTCAACCACCTGGGCAGGAGCGAAAGAAATGGACACAAACACCAGGGCAGGAGCGAAAGAAATGGCCATATCCACAAGGGCAGGAGCGAAAGAAATGGACACATCCACCAGGGCATGATAGGCTCAATCAGCCACAGCGTCTACCACACAGATAATGGTGGTCCCTTTCCCCCGGGATGTCTACAGGGCTACAAGCACACTTGCTGCGATTGACGTAGTTAAGGTAGTCAGTCTTAAGAATTGTAGTTGTCAGATCACTGGTTTTCTGGTCAGTTTAAGGATGTCAAGGGTAATGATGTAGGGAGGGAGTAAAATAAACATATAATGGTGGTGTTGGTGGAGGGGGGAGGATGGCAGCATAGTATGATACAGTCCTAAGATCAAGCCAATGTCACCCCACCCCACCACCACCCCCACCACCCACACACACATCAAACACCCCACACCCTATACATAATGAATGTTTCCATCACATCATCTCGTGTGCTTGAATCGTAAGAATTAGAATGCATGAACCAATATCACGGCGGGGGACAAGAGAAATGCGCTTCACACATTTTATCCATGTCTTGAATCGAACCCGGGTCATCGGCGTGACGAGCGAACGCTTTAACTACTAGGCTACCCGACCGTCCCTAGTTATATATGATGGTAAATAGGACTCCAATGAGTTGAATTCCCAAGTATGTTAATTATTATCATTGTTGTTGTTGTTTGTTGTTAAACGCCACACCCAGCAATGTTCCAGTTATATGACGGCGTTGGAAAAGTACTGATGCAAATTGTCAGGGTAATGTTCATTCCAATATCCTGGTGAGACCCAGGAATTACCCGAGTTGTTAAAGCAGCACTTTGAGACACTATCTGATTATGGCTGTCGTGTTGTCATGACGTTACACGTGGACCGTGGCCTGTAGTAAGTCACGAGTGTTGTCCACCTGTATATAACGTCCCCAAACATAACATTTTGTTTCAATGAACATTAAAATACCTGTTTCCAGCATTCTCTCGACGAGAAGACGATGATTTTTAGTAATCCGTGCATTGCGTTATTTACGTTTGGGGGACAACATTTCTCAAGAATGAGTTCGAGAATTAGTGTCATAATTGATTTGTTCCAGAGAAGGGGCCTCTTGTGTGTATTAATTTCACATGTAATCGTTTTTTTCTGATGACATAAGCGACCCTAGTGCCTATCTCTTCTTAAGGTCTTAAAGGACTCTTTATATATTCACTACTATTTGAACAAACTATTTTTTTATGTTCCCCATGGTGGGGGATAGTGATAACGATTTCTTGTTGATTCATTTACGATGTACAATATTGCAGGTAGTATTGACACAAATATCACGTTATCACATCGAACTCCTTGGGTTGTTCAGGGACAGAGAAAGCCACGATTACTCAGGGACCAGTTGCTTTCGACCAAGTATGCATGTTATACCAGGTATTAGAAGGTAACCTCCTTTTTATTAGTAGCTGGGATATCAGCTAAAGGGACACTCTTAACCATTACGAGCTCTGGTGTCTGGCTGCTCTTAAGCCGCGCCCAGAAGTTGTTTGATTGTCTGAAAATACAAGGCAGTATTACGCCCATCTTTTCACAGACAAGAAGCTCGACGGGACTAAAATTCATAAGGTTACATGGAATTCTTCATGGAAAATTAAACAGAACATACGAAATTACATGAATCCATTGCGTGGTGCAATTAATGTAATGAGACGATCTTGTCCAGGGTGCCGTTGTTCAAAACGACCTTAGCCCTAAGGTGATCGTAACTCCGATACCTTAACATAGACTTACGACAGTTGTTGCGCTAAGGTTGTTTTGAACAACGGTACTCAGGGTGTCGTTTGTAGGCCTGCAATGCCCAGGTCTCATTGCAAGTCTACCAGTTTGTCCTACAGTCGAGAAATTACACTTGATTTGCCAAACATTGTGACGTCCCCCCTACTATCGTACCCATAATTCGTCATTTTGTCTGTTCATTGAGACACTGTCTCGGGTGCATTTTGGGGCTTGTGCTTAGCTCAATGGTATTAGTGATTGTGAGTTACCCTACAGGCGCACACACTTTAGGTTCTGTGGGCACGTGTGTCACGTGCTTTTCATGCGGGATGAGAAATGATTTTATGATTAGATGTTGCGTTCACATGCAACTCCACAGTATTGTAAATGTACATCTACATGGTTTGTTGTTGGTTGGTTTGTTGTTTAACGCCGCACTCAGCAATATTCGTGCTATATGACGGCGGTCTGTAAATAATCGAGTCTGGACCAGACAATCCAGTGATTGACATCATGAACATCGATCCACACAATTGGGATAGATGCATCAACCAAGTCAGCGAGTCTGACCACCCGATCCCTTTAGTCGCCTTTTACGACAAGCATAGTCGCCTGTTACGGCAAGCATGGGTTGCTGAAGACCTATTCTACCCAAGATCTTCACGGGTCCCCTTATATATGTATCGGACGTATAATTAGAGACTGTGTGAACTAGCCGTCTATCCCCCTCGTGTGACGTGACTCACTACCATATCCTCACATGAACTGTTGCCAGTTATCTTACCTTCACACACGAACTCTGGCCCAGTGGTGACTCAGCATAACACCACTGCCACAGGCTAATTTGCATATCACGTGACCGGACTTTTCTCTTGTTTGTAAAGAAACGCGCTTTTTCAGAAATCAATGTAGAACGGACTAATGCAAGTATTTAGGGTCGCTTAACATATTGTTTTGCATAATTATATAGATATACTACTACAACTGCGACAGTGAGTTGCATGACAATATACATTTATGCATCAAAAAGACCGTATCGCCAGCTCTCCGTTGGGCTTCGATGACAGCACGTGGAGCCTTACAACCAATGTAAACAAAGAATAACTACGCAAAAACAAATAGATTTTCACGTATTAGGATACTTTCTTAATGAATCGTAACCATTCTTTGACGTTTGTTTATGAAAATGTGTTGACTTGTCATACATGAAACGGATGAAAAGCATATTCAACATCTTGAATGGACTGTGAAAGATGTGACGAATCGTCACATGGCGCTGGCCTGTTGCAGAGGTACTATGCTGGCTGGCTGCCGGCCGCATGGAACTCTGGGTAGGAGAGTGCTTCACACACAGTTGTTTGCTTGTATGCAACTCCATCTACGGAAGTAAAATCCTTTACCGATTCTTTTTGTTTTTAGACGGCACAACATTTGTCTTAAGTACACATTCAAATACCAATGCAAAAAGACCACAGAAATATTTTATGAGTTTTATTTTAACAATTAAAATGAAATGACCAAAGTAAAATTCATGAGGAACAGACATGATATTCAACATTTATAAAACCTCGCTATATGCACTAAACCAGAAGTTGCTATCCATACAGTTGTACGTTTTCTTATTCGTAAAATGACAGCGCAGTGGAAAAGCAATCATTTGCAAGTCTTATAAAAAACATACATTCACATGAGACTCACCGAACCTTTACATTAAACATGACATTGATCATAAAGTTGATATTAAGTCAACTCCTAATAGAATGATTATAACGAAATACCCAATTTAACGGACGAAGGCTAAATTCGAAAATAGAGAAAGGGCAAATCCAAAGTGAAGATATACTTTTTCGATGAAATATCTACAACAAAGAAATATATATACAAAAATGCATACTTCGAAAACCTTTATACCTACGAAAGAATATATTCAGTCAACTCCTGATAAAAGAATGATTAGCAGGATATAGCCGCAATAACGCACCAATCGTGTTGATAAACGGTGTACATTGCTATTTCAAAGACCTGAATTCGCACTGCATTTGTTATCGTTATGTCGTTAACCAGGAATGTATGACACACACTATGCGGCAAAAACCTTTCTATAATCATAAGAAATATCTTCTGATAACAGGGTCTATCGTTCGATTCTGACAATATGCTAGTATATAAACATATGTTTATAGTGATGATATAGTGACGAAGGTGAGCGTATCTTGTCCAAACCGGTGGCCAACAAGCACAATAAGTGATTGTATAAAGTACAATGTTCCTCTGAGATTTGTAAACAAGAGGAGTCTTAAAGATCAACCCTTAAAATGGCTGCAAAACAATGTGACTGTTTTAACGATCACTGCATCAGGCTTTGCTAAAGATCACGCGTTTTCGGTTTCGCTTCCGAAGACAGTCAACGACTCTTCCACAATCAAGAAGCACCACTCCGGCAAACGCAAGGACAAAGAAGACGATTCCAACCTTTCCGATTGCCTGGGCAGTTGGCCGGTCGTCACTAGCCGATGTCTTTTCACGTTTGTAGGACGAGAGTGTCTTCTTTTCCAATGTAAGTTTCTTTATTAGCTCTTTCATTTCATCCACTGAAGGCCCAGCAGATGAAAGCCAGACACACGTGTTGTTGGTTGTTGTGCAGTTCGGGCCTACAGAAACATTACACATACATATACCTCTATGTTTGTTTGTTTGTTGTTTAACGAGGCACTAAGCAATATCAATCACTGGATTGTCTGGTCCAGACTCGATTATTTACAGACTGCCGTCATATAGTTGTAATATTGCAGAGTGCGGCGTTAAACAACAAACCAACCAATTAGAACAATACAGCTCCAGTGGATCCATCCAATTCTGTAAACCTTTTATCGTACTACAAAACAGAACTATATCATCAAAAAAAAGCAACAGAAATATCTTAATATCTGGGTGCAGCTGTATACCATCAGTACAATTACCTTAATTTGTGCAGCTAGTTCATTGACGAAAATACAGAACAGGAAGGGGCTAAGAATACAGCCTTGGCGTACACCAAAGTTACATATGAAGACATCAGAATATATTCCCCGGTATTTAACACATGACTTTACATGTTGATAAATATTGCTTAATAATTTACCCATTTTGTTACTCACACCATTTTAAAAGAAATAATGCCCATATGATATTTCTGTTTACCGAATTAAACGCTTTTTGAAATCTTAAAAATATTGCATAACTCTTTCCACCTTTTCTCTGCATGTATTTGTGAATAATCGCATTAAGTATGAAATTAATACCCGTGGTTGAGTACCCTTGTCTAAAACCTGCTTGTTCTTCCGACATTTTATCTAATAATTCTAACCAAAAGGTGACTCTTTTATTGATAATAGAAACAAATATTTTGCTACAAACACTCAGAAGGGTAATTCCTCGCTAATTGTTTGTGTCGGTACATGACCCTGATTTATGTAGGAGAATTATCATACAAATAGTCCACTTTATGGGGAAATAACGTTTCTAAAATCATATTAAACAGTAATTCAAAGTGTGGGAGTAGAATATTGACAGAATGTTTAAGAACTCTGGAATTAAACCATCTATCCCGGAACTCTTGCTGTTGTTTCAAATCGTAGATAGCTTTTTGAATTTCCTCTATCAAGAATTGCAGCAGTTATGTCATTGTCATCCTGATCTGATAATTCACAGTAAGTATCACTCCTGACACCGTTACCAATAAACGTTATTTTTGAAATAATCATACCATTCATCAATTTCAATATTACTTTTAGACTAATAATGGGGATTTAGCTTTCCGAGGGTTGTCCAAACTTCTTTCGACGACTTAATGTCATCTTCCAAATATTGTTTTTTCCTTTTCAAGAAATATAAGCTTCTTTTCCCTGCACGTGGTTTTGTTAAGATTTTTAATTCTTGTATATTCCCTTAACGACTGCAAATCTTTATCTCTTCTGAATTTGTCGAGGCATGTACATGTCTTTTTTAGTAACTGACATTCCCAATCAAACCATTGTTGTGTTTTCTTATCCATGTGAACTACTTTCTTCATTTCGTCACCAGCAAAGGAGAGTGCCTCTCTAATAACCTCGATACTTTCATCAATATTTGTGAATACGGCATCAACTGCTTTTTCAACAAGTGATAAAAACTTATCTGAAGATAAGTTACAAAGAAATATTTCTTCTTTATCAGTTCTCCATTTAAATGTAATGTACTTGCATAATTGATATCATCATAACCATCAATGCCTGAATGAAACGTACGTAAAGACAGTACTAAAGTAACATGTTGCGACTCGTAACGTGTGTCAATGTTGAATGTTTTGCAGAGGTCAAACATGTGTACTGTGGAGGTAATATAGTCATTTACGCTCGCCCCAGTACTATCACGATGTACCTTCTTTGCCTAAAGTGACAGAGGGTGATATCACAGAGGTCAAACATGTGTACTGTGGAGGTAATATAGTCATTTACGCTCGCCCCCGTACTATCACGATGTACCTTCTTTGCCTAAAGTGACAGAGGGTGATATCACAGAGGTCAAACATGTGTACTGTGGAGGTAATATAGTCATTTACGCTCGCCCCCGTACTACTACGATGTACCTTCTTTGTCTAAAGTGACAGAGGGTGATATCACAGAGGTCAAACATGTGTACTGTGGAGGTAATATAGTCATTTACGCTCGCCCCCGTACTATCACGATGTACCTTCTTTGCCTAAAGTGACAGAGGGTGATATCACAGAGGTCAAACATGTGTACTGTGGAGGTAATATAGTCATTTACGCTCGCCCCCGTACTATCACGATGTACCTTCTTTGCCTAAAGTGACAGAGGGTGATATCACAGAGGTCAAACATGTCTACTGTGGAGGTAATATAGTCATTTACGCTCGCCCCCGTACTATCACGATGTACCTTCTTTGCCTAAAGTGACAGAGGGTGATATCACAGAGGTCAAACATGTGTACTGTGGAGGTAATATAGTCATTTACGCTCGCCCCTGCACTATCACGATATACCTTCTTTGCCTAAAGTGACAGAGGGTGATATCACAGAGGTCAAACATGTGTACTGTGGAGGTAATATAGTCATTTACGCTCGCCCCCGTACTACTACGATGTACCTTCTTTGTCTAAAGTGACAGAGGGTGATATCACAGAGGTCAAACATGTGTACTGTGGAGGTAATATAGTCATTTACGCTCGCCCCCGTACTACCACGATGTACCTTCTTTGCCTAAAGTGACAGAGGGTGATATCACAGAGGTCAAACATGTGTACTGTGGAGGTAATATAGTCATTTACGCTCGCCCCCGTACTATCACGATGTACCTTCTTTGCCTAAAGTGACAGAGGGTGATATCACAGAGGTCAAACATGTGTACTGTGGAGGTAATATAGTCATTTACGCTCGCCCCAGTACTATCACGATGTACCTTCTTTGCCTAAAGTGACAGAGGGTGATATCACAGAGGTCAAACATGTGTACTGTGGAGGTAATATAGTCATTTACGCTCGCCCCCGTACTATCACGATGTACCTTCTTTGCCTAAAGTGACAGAGGGTGATATCACAGAGGTCAAACATGTGTACTGTGGAGGTAATATAGTCATTTACGCTCGCCCCCGTACTATCACGATGTACCTTCTTTGCCTAAAGTGACAGAGGGTGATATCACAGAGGTCAAACATGTGTACTGTGGAGGTAATATAGTCATTTACGCTCGCCCCCGTACTATCACGATGTACCTTCTTTGCCTAAAGTGACAGAGGGTGATATCACAGAGGTCAAACATGTGTACTGTGGAGGTAATATAGTCATTTACGCTCGCCCCTGTACTATCACGATGTACCTTCTTTGCCTAAAGTGACAGAGGGTGATATCACAGAGGTCAAACATGTGTACTGTGGAGGTAATATAGTCATTTACGCGCGCCCCCGTACTATCACGATGTACCTTCTTTGCCTAAAGTGACAGAGGGTGATATCACAGAGGTCAAACATGTGTACTGTGGAGGTAATATAGTCATTTACGCTCGCCCCCGTACTATCACGATGTACCTTCTTTGCCTAAAGTGACAGAGGGTGATATCACAGAGGTCAAACATGTGTACTGTGGAGGTAATATAGTCATTTACGCTCGCCCCCGTACTACTATGATGTACCTTCTTTGCCTAAAGTGACAGAGGGTGATATCACAGAGGTCAAACATGTGTACTGTGGAGGTAATATAGTCATTTACGCTTGCCCCTGCACTATCACGATGTACCTTCTTTGCCTAAAGTGACAGAGGGCGATATCACAGAGGTCAAACATGTGTACTGTGGAGGTAATATAGTCATTTAAGCTCGCCCCTGCACTATCACGATGTACCTTCTTTGCCTAAAGTGACAGAGGGTGATATCACAGAGGTCAAACATGTTTACTGTGGAGGTAATATAGTCATTTACGCTCGCCCCCGTACTATCACGATGTACCTTCTTTGCCTAAAGTGACAGAGTGTGATATCACAGAGGTCAAACATGTGTACTGTGGAGGTAATATAGTCATTTACGCTCGCCCCCGTACTATCACGATGTACCTTCTTTGCCTAAAGTGACAGAGGGTGATATCACAGAGGTCAAACATGTGTACTGTGGAGGTAATATAGTCATTTACGCTCGCCCCCGTACTACTACGATGTACCTTCTTTGCCTAAAGTGACAGAGGGTGATATCACAGAGGTCAAACATGTGTACTGTGGAGGTAATATAGTCATTTACGCTCGCCCCCGTACTACTACGATGTACCTTCTTTGCCTAAAGTGACAGAGGGTGATATCACAGAGGTCAAACATGTGTACTGTGGAGGTAATATAGTCATTTACGCTCGCCCCCGTACTATCACGATGTACCTTCTTTGTCTAAAGTGACAGAGGGTGATATCACAGAGGTCAAACATGTGTACTGTGGAGGTAATATAGTCATTTACGCTCGCCCCCGTACTACCACGATGTACCTTCTTTGTCTAAAGTGACAGAGGGTGATATCACAGAGGTCAAACATGTGTACTGTGGAGGTAATATAGTCATTTACGCTCGCCCCCGTACTATCACGATGTACCTTCTTTGCCTAAAGTGACAGAGGGTGATATCACAGAGGTCAAACATGTGTACTGTGGAGGTAATATAGTCATTTACGCTCGCCCCCGTACTATCACGATGTACCTTCTTTGCCTAAAGTGACAGAGGGTGATATCACAGAGGTCAAACATGTGTACTGTGGAGGTAATATAGTCATTTACGCTCGCCCCCGTACTATCACGATGTCCCTTCTTTGCCTAAAGTGACAGAGGGTGATATCACAGAGGTCAAACATGTGTACTGTGGAGGTAATATAGTCATTTACGCTCGCCCCCGTACTATCACGATGTACCTTCTTTGCCTAAAGTGACAGAGGGTGATATCACAGAGGTCAAACATGTGTACTGTGGAGGTAATATAGTCATTTACGCTCGCCCCCGTACTACTACGATGTACCTTCTTTGCCTAAAGTGACAGAGGGTGATATCACAGAGGTCAAACATGTGTACTGTGGAGGTAATATAGTCATTTACGCTCGCCCCCGTACTACTACGATGTACCTTCTTTGCCTAAAGTGACAGAGGGTGATATCACAGAGGTCAAACATGTGTACTGTGGAGGTAATATAGTCATTTACGCGCGCCCCCGTACTATCACGATGTACCTTCTTTGCCTAAAGTGACAGAGGGTGATATCACAGAGGTCAAACATGTGTACTGTGGAGGTAATATAGTCATTTACGCTCGCCCCCGTACTACTACGATGTACCTTCTTTGCCTAAAGTGACAGAGGGTGATATCACAGAGGTCAAACATGTGTACTGTGGAGGTAATATAGTCATTTACGCTCGCCCCCGTACTATCACGATGTACCTTCTTTGCCTAAAGTGACAGAGGGTGATATCACAGAGGTCAAACATGTGTACTGTGGAGGTAATATAGTCATTTACGCGCGCCCCCGTACTATCACGATGTACCTTCTTTGCCTAAAGTGACAGAGGGTGATATCACAGAGGTCAAACATGTGTACTGTGGAGGTAATATAGTCATTTACGCTCGCCCCCGTACTATCACGATGTACCTTCTTTGCCTAAAGTGACAGAGGGTGATATCACAGAGGTCAAACATGTGTACTGTGGAGGTAATATAGTCATTTACGCTCGTCCCCGTACTACTACGATGTACCTTCTTTGTCTAAAGTGACAGAGGGTGATATCACAGAGGTCAAACATGTGTACTGTGGAGGTAATATAGTCATTTACGCTCGCCCCCGTACTATCACGATGTACCTTCTTTGCCTAAAGTGACAGAGGGTGATATCACAGAGGTCAAACATGTGTACTGTGGAGGTAATATAGTCATTTACGCTCGCCCCCGTACTATCACGATGTACCTTCTTTGCCTAAAGTGACAGAGGGTGATATCACAGAGGTCAAACATGTCTACTGTGGAGGTAATATAGTCATTTACGCTCGCCCCCGTACTATCACGATGTACCTTCTTTGCCTAAAGTGACAGAGGGTGATATCACAGAGGTCAAACATGTGTACTGTGGAGGTAATATAGTCATTTACGCTCGCCCCCGTACTATCACGATGTCCCTTCTTTGCCTAAAGTGACAGAGTGTGATATCACAGAGGTCAAACATGTGTACTGTGGAGGTAATATAGTCATTTACGCTCGCCCCCGTACTATCACGATGTACCTTCTTTGCCTAAAGTGACAGAGGGTGATATCACAGAGGTCAAACATGTGTACTGTGGAGGTAATATAGTCATTTACGCTCGCCCCCGTACTACTACGATGTACCTTCTTTGCCTAAAGTGACAGAGTGTGATATCACAGAGGTCAAACATGAGTACTGTGGAGGTAATATAGTCATTTACGCTCGCCCCCGTACTACTACGATGTACCTTCTTTGCCTAAAGTGACAGAGGGTGATATCACAGAGGTCAAACATGTGTACTGTGGAGGTAATATAGTCATTTACGCGCGCCCCCGTACTATCACGATGTACCTTCTTTGCCTAAAGTGACAGAGGGTGATATCACAGAGGTCAAACATGTGTACTGTGGAGGTAATATAGTCATTTACGCTCGCCCCCGTACTACTACGATGTACCTTCTTTGCCTAAAGTGACAGAGGGTGATATCACAGAGGTCAAACATGTGTACTGTGGAGGTAATATAGTCATTTACGCGCGCCCCCGTACTATCACGATGTACCTTCTTTGCCTAAAGTGACAGAGGGTGATATCACAGAGGTCAAACATGTGTACTGTGGAGGTAATATAGTCATTTACGCGCGCCCCCGTACTATCACGATGTACCTTCTTTGCCTAAAGTGACAGAGGGTGATATCACAGAGGTCAAACATGTGTACTGTGGAGGTAATATAGTCATTTACGCGCGCCCCCGTACTATCACGATGTACCTTCTTTGCCTAAAGTGACAGCGGGTGATATCACAGAGGTCAAACATGTGTACTGTGGAGGTAATATAGTCATTTACGCGCGCCCCCGTACTATCACGATGTACCTTCTTTGCCTAAAGTGACAGAGGGTGATATCACAGAGGTCAAACATGTGTACTGTGGAGGTAATATAGTCATTTACGCGCGCCCCCGTACTATCACGATGTACCTTCTTTGCCTAAAGTGACAGAGGGTGATATCACAGAGGTCAAACATGTGTACTGTGGAGGTAATATAGTCATTTACGCGCGCCCCCGTACTATCACGATGTACCTTCTTTGCCTAAAGTGACAGAGGGTGATATCACAGAGGTCAAACATGTGTACTGTGGAGGTAATATAGTCATTTACGCTCGCCCCCGTACTACTATGATGTACCTTCTTTGCCTAAAGTGACAGAGGGTGATATCACAGAGGTCAAACATGTGTACTGTGGAGGTAATATAGTCATTTACGCTTGCCCCTGCACTATCACGATGTACCTTCTTTGCCTAAAGTGACAGAGGGCGATATCACAGAGGTCAAACATGTGTACTGTGGAGGTAATATAGTCATTTAAGCTCGCCCCTGCACTATCACGATGTACCTTCTTTGCCTAAAGTGACAGAGGGTGATATCACAGAGGTCAAACATGTTTACTGTGGAGGTAATATAGTCATTTACGCTCGCCCCCGTACTATAACGATGTACCTTCTTTGCCTAAAGTGACAGAGTGTGATATCACAGAGGTCAAACATGTGTACTGTGGAGGTAATATAGTCATTTACGCTCGCCCCCGTACTATAACGATGTACCTTCTTTGCCTAAAGTGACAGAGGGTGATATCACAGAGGTCAAACATGTGTACTGTGGAGGTAATATAGTCATTTACGCTTGCCCCTGCACTATCACGATGTACCTTCTTTGCCTAAAGTGACAGAGGGCGATATCACAGAGGTCAAACATGTGTACTGTGGAGGTAATATATTCATTTAAGCTCGCCCCCGTACTATCACGATGTACCTTCTTTAATTAAAGTGACAGAGGGCGATATCACAGAGGTCAAACATGTGTACTGTGGAGGTAATATAGTCATTTACGCTTGCCCCTGCACTATCACGATGTACCTTCTTTGCCTAAAGTGACAGAGGGCGATATCACAGAGGTCAAACATGTGTACTGTGGAGGTAATATAGTCATTTAAGCTCGCCCCTGCACTATCACGATGTACCTTCTTTGCCTAAAGTGACAGAGGGTGATATCACAGAGGTCAAACATGTTTACTGTGGAGGTAATATAGTCATTTACGCTCGCCCCCGTACTATAACGATGTACCTTCTTTGCCTAAAGTGACAGAGTGTGATATCACAGAGGTCAAACATGTGTACTGTGGAGGTAATATAGTCATTTACGCTCGCCCCCGTACTATCACGATGTACCTTCTTTGCCTAAAGTGACAGCGGGTGATATCACAGAGGTCAAACATGTGTACTGTGGAGGTAATATAGTCATTTACGCGCGCCCCCGTACTATCACGATGTACCTTCTTTGCCTAAAGTGACAGAGGGTGATATCACAGAGGTCAAACATGTGTACTGTGGAGGTAATATAGTCATTTACGCTCGCCCCCGTACTATCACGATGTACCTTCTTTGCCTAAAGTGACAGCGGGTGATATCACAGAGGTCAAACATGTGTACTGTGGAGGTAATATAGTCATTTACGCGCGCCCCCGTACTATCACGATGTACCTTCTTTGCCTAAAGTGACAGAGGGTGATATCACAGAGGTCAAACATGTGTACTGTGGAGGTAATATAGTCATTTACGCGCGCCCCCGTACTATCACGATGTACCTTCTTTGCCTAAAGTGACAGAGGGTGATATCACAGAGGTCAAACATGTGTACTGTGGAGGTAATATAGTCATTTACGCGCGCCCCCGTACTATCACGATGTACCTTCTTTGCCTAAAGTGACAGAGGGTGATATCACAGAGGTCAAACATGTGTACTGTGGAGGTAATATAGTCATTTACGCTCGCCCCCGTACTACTATGATGTACCTTCTTTGCCTAAAGTGACAGAGGGTGATATCACAGAGGTCAAACATGTGTACTGTGGAGGTAATATAGTCATTTACGCTTGCCCCTGCACTATCACGATGTACCTTCTTTGCCTAAAGTGACAGAGGGCGATATCACAGAGGTCAAACATGTGTACTGTGGAGGTAATATAGTCATTTAAGCTCGCCCCTGCACTATCACGATGTACCTTCTTTGCCTAAAGTGACAGAGGGTGATATCACAGAGGTCAAACATGTTTACTGTGGAGGTAATATAGTCATTTACGCTCGCCCCCGTACTATAACGATGTACCTTCTTTGCCTAAAGTGACAGAGTGTGATATCACAGAGGTCAAACATGTGTACTGTGGAGGTAATATAGTCATTTACGCTCGCCCCCGTACTATAACGATGTACCTTCTTTGCCTAAAGTGACAGAGGGTGATATCACAGAGGTCAAACATGTGTACTGTGGAGGTAATATAGTCATTTACGCTTGCCCCTGCACTATCACGATGTACCTTCTTTGCCTAAAGTGACAGAGGGCGATATCACAGAGGTCAAACATGTGTACTGTGGAGGTAATATATTCATTTAAGCTCGCCCCCGTACTATCACGATGTACCTTCTTTAATTAAAGTGACAGAGGGCGATATCACAGAACAGAACAGCATCGATCCACGCAATTGGGAAACGATGACATGCATCAACCAAGTCAGCGAACTTGACCACCCGATCCCGTTCGTCGCCTTTTACGACAAGCATAGTCGCCTTTTACGACAAGCATAGGTTGCTGAAGACCTAGTCTACCCCGGATCTTCACAGGGCCACTTTGACATTTGATGGGAAGCATATGCTTGTTTTTTTTCGTCTTAAGATAAGACCGACCAAGGGATATCATATTTAGTTTCTAATTCTGGTTCGTCACTTATTGTGAACTGGAATAAGTAACAGAACAAACACAGCACTAGTCTTCGAGTCCGCTTTAGAACATAACCCCTTATGTCAAATGTGTCAAAAAGAAGAGGACAATCACTTATGTTATTCTTACAGTGTTTGTACTTACACAAGTTTTCTGGCAATTGAATCACTGGAGTTGTTCTTCCATTAGATGATGTAGTTGCGTCTGGTGTTTGAGCAGATTCTGACTTGACAGTTGTTACATCGGATTCTGAAGTTGTTACATCGGATTTAGGAGTAGATGCAGACGCGGCTGAAGTTTTTGCAGTTGCTTTCGGAGTAGTGGTAGATGATGCTGATGTGATTTTTTCTGACGTTGAAGCAGGTTCTGTTTCCACAGTTGTTACATCGGATTCTGAAGTTGTTACATCGGATTTGGGAGTTGATGCAGACGCGGCTGAAGTTTTTGCAGTTGCTTTCGGAGTGGTAGATGATGCTGATGTGATTTTTTCTGACGTTGAAGCAGATTCTGACTTGACAGTTGTTACATCGGATTCTGAAGTTGTTACATCGGATTTGGGAGTTGATGCAGACGCGGCTGAAGTTTTTGCAGTTGCTTTCGGAGTGGTAGATGATGCTGATGTGATTTTTTCTGACATTGAAGCAGATTCTGTTTCAACAGTTGTTACATCGGATTCTGAAGTTGTTACATCCGTTTCTGCAGTTATTACATCGGATTCTGAAGTTGTTACATCGCATTCCGAAGTTGGAGCTGTTGCAGGTGCTTTCGTAGTACCGGTACTGCATGATAATACAGAGGTTACTCCATTGGTCACTGTATCAGAACACATCCCCACGGTAGATTTGTTTTCAGGGACAAATCGTGACAAGTGTTCCACTATTGCTGTAAACAAAAATGTTTGTACAATGATGACGCTTTGAACAGTATTCCAGTCAATCATAGCCTGTCATCTTAATGTGGGAGGAAAGCCCGCAGTGAAGCAGGTCGCACACGTTTACCGATTTGGTAAAACCCATGAGAACAGGTATGGTGCTGACAAACTTACAAACATAATCGGGGTGAACAGGCATTGACATTCTAGAATTTGGTGAGTAAATTAGAAAACGTACACCTTTATGGATTACAACTTCTGGGTTATTGCATTTAGCAATGTCAGTGGTTTACTGAGTGTTGTACCGGAAAACAATTGCATCGGAATTACGCGGGTTTTATCTGTTTAATTCTGGTTCAGGAAGAAAATGTACAAGAGGTTTCTTCAATATAATTTGTGTCCGTGCCTTGAAACACAGCGGTGCATTACGACAGTGCAGTTTACATTTGGCAGTCGCTCATTGCATTCTGGGTACCCGAGGTAGACCTTTCCACTAACTTCCTGCTGCTAGTCATGAGAGGCGACTTAATTGGGAGTCGGGTTAAAACTGGTCCCCAGCAAGCCATGCTTGTCAGAAGAGATGACAAAATGGATTGGGTGATCTGACTCGTATCCCAATGCGTGGATCGATGTTTATGATATCAGTCATCGGAATCTCAATACTTGACAGACCGCTTTAAACAACAAACATACACACGCATTCCAAGAAATACTTTGGGTCACATTACAAATAAATGGTCTCCAATAAGGGAGAACGACCCACAGCCTTCGGAAATTAATTGTTTCTGAAAAACAGTACAGTTGTTTTCTACACGTTCTGATAGCCTAGCGATAAAGTATCAGAGAGCGTTTTGGGAATTACAATAGTTTCCATAAAAGCATTAATTCCACGAATGTCAAAAGACCGACGATACATTGATAAACACAATTCTTCATCTGCACATTTACCTTTTAGTAGGCATCACCAGTGTGATCGTCCCGAGGAAACAGTCCCGAGTACGAAGAAATATCTTTTGTATATATCTGCACGTTCCAAGCAACAGTCGCCCGGAAGGCTAGGTGGTCTTAATGTGACACGCATTGTAATTGGTCAAAGCAATAGGTCATCTCTTGCCATCATACTGATGTTAAGCTCTGCTACATTGTATGACAAAATATATTTCAAGTTATATTCCAGATCGTATGACCGCCTCCGTGGTCTAATGGAAGAGCGTCAGCCCGGAGAGCGGAAGGTCCGGGGTTCGATCCCGGGCCGCGTCATACCAAAAGACGTTAGAATATGGTACTTGTTGTTACCCTGTCTGGCGCTCGGCATTAAGGGGCCAAAACAAGGACTGGTCGGTTCGGAGTTAGTATACTGTGTCTGAGTGGGGTATTCATGTTAAACTACGGCATGGTATCTCAGTGTGCTACCACTACAAATCGGCATCAGTCCGGACTAGTACAAGCAGCCACACACACACACACACACACACACACACACACACACACACACACGCACACACACGTACATGCAGTCGCTATATAAGTGCAATAATCTTGGACGCGACGTTAAACCCTATTTCACCTCACCACCTCGTACTTGTTATGTTGTCGTGGATAACTAATTTTCGCATGTTTTGGGGGCGTTCTCAACTCATCTCTGCGCCTAGCTTAGTTAGCAGCTTCATAAGGCTTATGGATGTGACGACGACCGTCATGGATAAGACACAAAGATTAGACATTAAATCGCTGTTGGGGACACTTTTGACACAGTCGTGAAAAGGTGAAAATTCAAGGGTACTTTCATAAACGTTATTAATGTATTTATCAGGAAACTTGGTATATACCTGGGCCCAAATCAGGCCAAAGGATTTTATAGAAGCAGGTTATATGATTTTCTGTCTCTGAAGTATGCTTATCACATCAACTATTGAAGTATATATGTCCGTGTGTCTTAATACATATTACAAAATCACTTGTCATTTATGGATTTATGATAAAGATAACGTCTGGCTGATGATGTTATTGTGAAACATGGATGTATCATACTTTCTCTTAAATGACATTACGGAATGTACTTCCATGGAATTATACAACATGCACATAGGTAATGTTTTGACCTATGATGTGAGAAGGTCAAAGGTAAAGGTCAAGAAATGGAAAGATCTTACTAATGTGTTTGTAGTTAAACTTTCGAAAAACATATTGATGCTGAGAATTTACCGTCTTAAGGATGAGGCGACACGTCGCTAAATGCAGTAAACCAAAAGTTGTTATCTTTAAAATTGCAAGTTTTCCTTTTTTCTCACAGATGAAACAGTTATTTTGGTTAATTCTTAGTCAAAACAAGTTAAAGTGAAGATTGAGGTTTTTGTAACACATGGTTATCTCCTGTGACCTCTACGACCATCAAACTTCATAATTGCATGTATCCCATCACATAAAACACTGGCATTTAAAAGGTCAGTATGACACACAAGACTCACCGCAGTACTCTCCATCATAAATTACCGAAAATGACGGGATGCAGGCACATTCGTCTGTAACCGAAATGTTAGAGCAATGAAAGACTCGTTTTGATTTATCTCATTATCTTACCCACTTTACCCACCAAATGTGTTCGTCTACCAAAGTTCACACACGAGTATTAAGGTCTATTTAACTTTTACAGTACGAGACGTGTGTTGTTGTTACTTACGAGATGTGTGTAATTGTTGTGAATTGTTGTACAGGACGTTACTGAATCTTGTTTATGAACCAGCTGTAACACAATACTCTGATTGTTTCGATCACTGCGAGGAAAGTATCCTGTTGTTTTACGCCTCACATCAATTATACAACGTAGTGCCTGTACTTCGAATGAACGGGGACAATTGTAATTCCAATACACGTTTGGAAAAACGATATCATTTAAAACACCAGGCGGAAATAGCTGTAATATTACCAATGCGACGTAAAGCAATATTATTTCTTTCATTTGAAACACCAAATAAACACTGATGATGGAACACTTTATTGACATGTACATGTCTATATATTTGTGTAGATACACGTGCTTATAAAATGAATACGTTTGTGACAAAAACTTTGTCGCTAGGTCAGGAGGCAAGCTCAACAGTTTTCCATCGACTCTAGGGCAAGTCGTTCTGCTACAGTTATCTATTTTGACCCTTCAGGTCCATCATAGTCATAGTCGAACTCCGAGTTTTGCAGAAAACCAAGAACATGGTTGTTACGGCCAAAATGATAAAATTATCTTTTGGTATTTATGTGTTCCCGATAGATTGTCGGAGAATTTCTTTGATTAAACCTAGTGCAAATAGCAGTGATTTATTGTCAAGTTTGTTTTTTAGCGGGTAGCAATTTTCGTGGTTACAAAGGGGGATAACTGCTGGTAGGTTTTATTTTGGAAGTATGTCGCTGGCCTGCCATTATGCCATGTGGGTTATTCTTTTGGAAGAATAGATGGTCTACAAACGGTATGAATTACTTTATTAGCAGTCTTTGCTTGGAAGCATTTTGTGTTAGTATTATTAACTTATAAGCAGCACTTTCTATAGTATTCAGTCACGTTATTTAGTCTGTATTTTCACAAGGCTTTCGAAGCTGTAGACCTATCTACTATAGAGAAGAACAATGGATAAAAAAAGCCATGTAGTCGAATACATAATAGGCTGCCACAAAGACACTGTTGCTTCTAAGATTGTTCTTGGCAAGGTATATTTGTCTGCACACACACACAGTAGATGCATTTTGGTCTTACCAAGTTATGAGAACAAAATATTTAACCAACAAAATGATGCTAAATGCAATCTTAATAACTGTTATGTTCTGTTGGTATGAATAATATCGAAATATAATGAAGGGAAAGGGAAGCCAGCCATACGGTTTAACGCCGCTTTTAGCAGTATTCCAGTTATATCGCAGCGTGCAGCTTAATGTGGGAGGAAAGCCCGAAGTGATGTAGCCCGAACCAACAAACCAACAAACCAACCAATCAAATTCCTTACATGGACTACACGGAAGGTAAATCAGACGTTTATCCAAGAGGTCACATACTGACCCAGTTCTTCTGCTCACACTGGGTAGGACATTTGCGAACGGGTGGACCTATTCTTTTTGTGTGTGTGTTTATGTTTAGCACTCAGGAATATTCTAGCTGTTTGACGGCAGTCTGTACATAGACCACACAATGCAGTGATTGGTATCATGAGCATCGATCTACGCACTTAAGGTACATGACATGACATGCATCAACCAAGTCAGCGAGCCTGGCCTCCCGATCCCGTCAGTCGCCTCTTACGACAATCAGGGGTTGCTGAAGAAAAATTCTAACCCGGATTTCACGGTTTGGACCTATTCTAATGTGAGGAGGAGAATTCATGGATGTCAACTTCTTTATTATGGGGAACACAACTTTTTAGAGTCTATGCCTACTCCTTCAGATGGTTAGGATAAACCCTAGGGCATCCTCTAACCGCCGATGTGATATTGTAAGGGTGTCTGGGTATATAGTGGAGTCTGGAGCCACGAGTATATCAAAGTAATGTATTTCAAATCGAAAAGTACATGCACATGAACTATATTTATATAGTTTTATATTAATAGTTATTAGGTTAATTGAGTGGTATATCATACGAATAACCAACGTAATCAATGAGATGTAAATCTGTCAAGAACCATACGTCACAGCGTTACATACGTATTTCCTTAAGGAGTTCTACAAATTAAAGTATGTAGACAGGCTGAAAAGAAATGTCACACTCTGACATACTGATAAATGG